TTATAATAATGCACTGATTTCAAACTACCGTAAAACATGATTATACTCATCTGTGTTAAAGTATTTTTCCAACTACATTATCATATCTTATTTTATTGAAACTTCTTCAAAGAAATATATTTTTAATAAAAAAGTTTCCTGTACACACTTTTATGATGTTTTAAAATTTATAATGCAATCCATGCCTTTTCAAATTGTATGAAAATTCTTCGAAAGCCTTTTATTTTGCCATTTTGTTTCTTAATTTATATAGATGAAAAAACTTGATCACCAGCTGCATAATTTATTTAGGATTATAAGGACCTAATTATTTAATGGAGAAGCTGATTTACTTGTACAGCGAAAGCTACTAATTGCGCTTTTAAAGAATGTTTTTTTTTCCTTAGGGCTGCTTTCGGGGTGTAATTGGGAGCAAGTCCAGATAGCAATCGTGAGATCCGGAATTCGAATTCCGGTGAGGACACTGCTGATTTTTTATGATTCCTTCTCCGAAATTAATCTAATAACACTTCAAGTAGCACCCAATTAAAAATTTAGTGGATGATAATTCTTCACTAACTGGATATGGACTGGGTCTACTCCCTTTACAATGGCCTTCCGAGTGAGGGAGAATGTAAGGAATTTTTCTCTACCTATATACTTGCCTTTGTGGTGTAAGTGGCTGCACTCCGACTAATAATCGGGAAGACCAGAGTTCGAACTCCGGCTAATTGCTAATTCTTCATGCTTCCCGACTTCACAAAATCCTGAAACGTCTCTACAAGTGGCGCCAAAACTAAAATGTGGTATCCGCTGATTCGTCCCTACTTGTATTTGGCAACTAGATTTTCCTCCTTCTTAGTCGCCATTTAAGTGAAGGAGAGTGCAAGGAATTTTCTCCTTTCTTATCGCGAACCTTCGTTGTGAGATTTAGCAGCGCAGATTTCCAATCCCGGTGACAGCATTGCTGATATTTCATGTTTTCTGCTCTGAAATAAAACAATGCCTGTTTATATGTATTGTTAGAAAAATAAGCTGTATTCAAACGAAATTTTAAAAATTTTAAAGCATTTTTATATTTTTACATCAGTTAAGAATCACTTTTTTTCGATACATGTTAATCCACGGTGGTAGAGGTTTAAATTTTCTCATAGTTTTAAATTAAAATGCCTTGCATTATTACTGAAAATTTAATTAAATATTTTCTCTACATGTGTTTCCAAATACTCTTAACTACTTTTCGAATAGCCTGTCTATTAAGACATTTAAACTGACTAAAGAAATTCTGTAGCACAAGTTGTTTAAAATTTTTAAATTTTCTTAATAAAGGTATATACAAAGTAAAAGAATTACACTAATTTTTGAAGCAAAAATAATGCTTTAATGCTCTGCACTAGCTGTACCAAAAACCTTAAAGACAACATTTTGAAAGTACCAACCTAAAAAATTTAGCTTCTTTCTCTGAAAGTGAAAAAAAGAGCATTTTATCTCCTTTTCCCTCCTCCAACACCATCTGCATTTTTTGCGGTACAATCTATTCAAATATATTCGGTGCTTTATACACCAGAACTTAAAGTTTTTTCCTTCTACAGCTTTCGCACAACCTCAGAGACATTCAAAAATCCCCAGCTGCACAGCAAATGTGGTTTTCAATGAAATGAAGTTCGCTACAACAATGGTGTTTTTTCTTTCAACTTTGTTTTTTGAGTTTTAGCGCATTTCTTTCCTAGAGGCAAAAGTCGTAAATTTCTCCCAGCAATGACTAAGGAATTCTAGGAGAGGTGGAAAGGACAGGCAAAATATCTAAATAAAACGGTGGCAACATATTTTTCAGGAATCCGATTTTCGATGTTTAAACTGCAACTGCAACGTGATCTATCAATCGTGTCAAGCACTCGAAGCGTAAAATGGAATTCTATGAATAAAATGTGCATTGAAATTTTCATTCTTAATATCATCCCGAGAATATTTTTTTAACCAGGTTCTAAAACAAAACTCTGGTATATCTCTTTTAGTAGTGTAAGAACCTGTCAAAAGTGACGGCAGGAAACGAATTTTAGAATTTAATTTTATTTCCTTTTCTGTACGCATTTCTGTATTATTCAGCTTGAAAACGGGTTCTATTCATAATGAATTCCTTTCAAAATGAAATGCGTTTGACAGAATGCAGCGTAAGTAAAATTTGAACTTCATCCCAGTTCCTCTTGGAATTCTGACGCGATGTGTTAGTTTTATTTAAACATTTCGTCAAGTTTTACTGAAGATAAAATGCAAATTCATTCTTTATATTTTACATTTGAATTAAAATGTTTCACATCCGTCAACCCCCCTCCTTTTTCAATATTCAGTAATAAACTAGGTTTAAAGTAAAAGTTCTTAAAAAATTCCACCCCTCAGCATAATTTAAGATTATTGCATCATTTAATTTCATGATCTACTGAAGTTCTTTGGAATATATTTCTCTTCCCTAAATCACCTTGTAGAGTAACCAAATTTAATTTATGGTGTTTTTAAATTTTATTACTTGATAAGTGAATTATCCACGTCGAAAACATTTAACTGAGAGCTGTATTATTAGAGTCATTTATTGTATTAAGAGTTATTTATTCCTTGAGCTTCGCGTGATTGAATTGATAAAATTTAAGTATGATTAATTACGAAAGTTTCTCATTATTTACTTGCAACTTTCTTGTACCAAAGAAGAAAGTTGATTTATCACCTTAACTACCAAAAATCTGAAACTATAATATATTTAAGACCTGCAGAAGAACTAGTGTTTGAAACTTAAATACATACATTCTATATGATATATGAGAGTCTATAATTTCTGCAGTGTTAAATTACGTTGGATTCCTATTCTCAACACCTAACTAGTATCCACAGATCTTCAATTCAATGGATGGTAAGGTAAGCCTCTTATGCTTTATAAAGATAAGATTCAAAGGTTAATGTTGTTGTTGTCGTGCCCATATTACATAGAAGAATAATTGCAAGAACCTACACCAAAGAGAAGTTGGACTTCTTTTTTCCACCTCAGTTTTCAGGGACAACACTCCGGGTGGTTGTCCGGGGGCCCTTCCTCGCCTCTCGCTTTCCACCAAACCACGTGAGAGGACTTACGGCTCGACGTATATTTAGACCACACGTTTACAAGCATCCATGTCTTCTCTTCTTCGGGCCCTTCTGTACCTCAGTAGGCTCCTCTAACTACTATACCGTCTGGGCGGCAGCTTTAAAGGTAAAATCTATAATAAACTTTATTATCCCAAGCTTTAATTAATGCAGACAAAATAAAGACAAATTAAACTTTGAGACTTCTCATGAGCTTATAATAATAATTGCTTGCATGTACGCTAAGAATGAAATGTGATTATAATAGAGAAAATTCTACGCGGACCTAGAATACACTTTAGATCGGAACGAAAAACTAACTTCTTAACATATAACGAACTCCGTAAAACTTTCAGTGGCTTTTAGTAAAACGGCAAAATCATCGAAGTTCCAGAGTTCCAGTTACCTCGCGATTAAGATTACATCTTAGTTTTAACTTTTCACTTGCGGCATAAACTTTTGTTCTGAACGAGTATTGTGACGAGACAAAGAATATATGATAAAAATTAGCATAAAACTACTTATTAATAAAATTAAAAATCTTTAACCTCACAAGTCTGAATGACAACATTATGTAATTGATGCTAAAAATACCGGAATGAACAAAAATCATCTAACTGATTTCAGTTGGTTCAACCCAGTTAGATGAAGGATTTCATGTTCTTCAACTAATCAAGATGCTTGAAATGTGCAGAAACGTATTTTTGCCCGCATACGGGTTCTTAATGTATTAAATGCACACAGAACCGATGACTGCTTGATAAAACTTATTTTACCAAAAAGAAACATTGTTCTGGAACTTTCCACAATAGTACTTGTACATCTCTTCTCAGTATGACAGAGCACAATCAGTAGTTACCACTTCACATTATTACTAATATTAAACACAACACATTGCAAAGCGCATCTAAAGAGCGAAGCTCGCATGGAAATCTCTCAATACTCCGAAGTCTACTCCGAACTGTAGAACTTACAGCTGATGCTCTATCCGGATTATATAGTTTTTTTCGCAGCCGTCGAGAAATCTCTAGTGCCTTCCATTTCTCGAACTTACTGTAAGACGCATACGGTTAAAGTTACATGGCTTGATACGACCGCAGTTAGATAAAGGGATTAATTACGATTATTCAATTACCGTATTAATTACAATTATACAGGAACCAGATCAAAATGTCGCCTAGTTTGGGGTTTTTGGCAAGATACGAAATCATCAAGCTTTGTCATCGAAATATTGCTTCAAGACACAAAACTGTGATCATCAAGATACGAAACAGTGAACACGCTAACGGCTGAAGATGCAAAGATAGTTCAAGATGGGATTACAAAAATACCTCTTCATCTGACTGGTATTCTCAATTTTCATTGCTTTTCAAAGTACTACAATATGTGATCTAAAGGTTTGGTGGTCAAAGAAACACCAAGGTTTTTTTTTAATTAAAAATGTTTTTTTTTCAATCAAAAATATTCATCCTTTATTATTTTAAGCTACTAGTAGGTAAGAATTTGCTCCCTTTATATTATATAAATAAATAATTGACCTATTATAGGTCAATTATTTATTTATGTAAAAGAATTGTCCTATTATACGTCAATTGTTAAGAAAGCTACAGCATCAAGCACTGAATATAAGCATGCAGGCAGGATTGAAGGCAAGAGGTTTATTAACTATGCCTCATACCCGATTCAACATTGTAATCAATGTTTCACTTTCGTACAGCATAACGCCATGCTGTAGTTTGTTAAAGGAAAAAAGAAGGCATCAGTTTCTTGATGCAGATTACGCATCCCCGTATTATGGAAATTATGCTTTCTTACTAAATTCATTTGTAAAAAATAGCGCATCGTGTATAATGAAACACTTACTACTGTTTACAGATTTTTAACTTATGTCCTGTCTTTGAATTTGGACCTTTCGAAATATTTCAGATGGTGAAGCGGTAACTCGGGAAGGCTGTCTGCCACCGGAGGTGGTAGTAAATGGAACGAGCGTTCCTGGAGGTGGTGGGACAGATTTCGCAAGTGTCCAAGAAGTGCAGTTTTTGGGTGTCATTGGACCTTTGGAACAAAAACGAATTTGTAAAATCAAGTGCCTCAATGGAGTTTGGGTCGGGCCACTCTGTACGATTGACCAAGGTGAGTCATATAGAAATATCTTGAAATATCATAATCAGATGAAGTGCTTGTTTGTTCGCAGAATTACTTCACGATTAGTGGAATCATTTTCAGAAATGTTAAACTTTCTGAAAACAACCTGCATTAAAACATTTAATAATTTTTTAAATATAGTAATCCAGAAATAATTGTAACTTGAATCTGGAAAAACACGTACCAAATGCTTACTATGAATAAAAATCTATTTAGAATTAAAATATAGAAAGTGTGCAAACGGTGTGTACGTAAATGTGAAATTAGAATTAACCATCGTTGCTTATATTATGTAATAATTAAGTAAACCAAGCTAAAAGATTATACCATAATGTCTCAACTTATGTAGTAACTTAAGGACTTCCATTGGCTTCTCAATTTTCATCATGTAGTTTAAATGATTCATGTCGGAAGCATTCCTTGGATAATTGCTCAAGAGTATAATGCAATACTGTAGTTTTTCTCTTTCATATTATTTTTTCTTTTAAGTTCTTTTTCTTTCCGTTACATGCTTTATTGTAAAAATATAGCATACAAAACATACAGCGAGCGAAACAAATGTTGTATCTAATATAACGTTTCTTGTCAACAGTATGTGTAGCTCAGTTTTGGAAACGGTTAGAAATGTATTCAGAGTTGAAGACGCCTAATATGCTATTACGCTTAACTTCTGCATAATTTATAAGGAATTATAGCATTCCTTTATGTACCAAGTCGTAGTGTAAGTAGTTAATATGTCCATCTAGCAACTGCAAGATCCGTAGTTTGAATCTTGGGAGCACACAGTTGATTTTTCACGCTTTCCGCTCTGAAAAACATAATGGTGCTTAAAATGAAATAAATTCTTAGAATTTCATGAATAAAATAAACTACTTATATATATATTTCATTAACGATGTTCAACTGGCCACCAGCGGCCAGAGTGTTAAGATGTTAAACTTTAGTTCAAATATTAGAAAACGAGCTGGGTCCATGGTTTCTATATGTACACCGTGCCCACAAAAGCTTTTACCTGTTCTTTACTTTGGAAAACGTTGGTCGCAGACATAGCTTTCCACTCACAAACTGTTTGGAATGACACAAACAGTTCATGTGCTCGATTTTAATGTTTTAACATTAATTACCTAAAAATTATGAAATCTAAATTTTTATATGTCCCGCTGTCACTTATATTTACAGAAATTTCGTACATTTTATAAACAATAAAATAAAAATTTGCGACTTCCATATAACTGATCGAGATTTTTGATATTAAATTTTCAAATCGTACTCAGGGGCAGTGCACAATTTGAAGATAAAAATGTTTGCATTTGTACGTAACTAAAAATGAAATATTAGGTAAGAAAAAAGGTCTCCATTGTTAACAGCCTAAATGATGAGAATTTCTGTGCACATTATCACGAAAAATATGAATTATGATCAATATAATTTCTTTTCATAACAGAAATCTTATTCACAGAATCTTATGAAGTTTGTGTTCGAGAAAACACTGGTAGGTTTCAGTGCGGGAAAATAGTCAAATGGTAACGCCATTTGCATTAATTGAAAATAAAAATATTTTTAGTTTAATGATTTTTTGCATGATTATTTGACTATGATTTTAAAGTAATAAAACTGCACAAGAATACCAGTAACGTATCTTTAGCATTCAAAAAACAAAATTTTCTTGTGTGCAAATTCATTCTACATAACAAATGTAGCAAAATTATGAATTAAAGAACATTATGTTGCGTTCTACAGTTTCGTAGATTTGGAGTAATTAATGACGACACTTGATGAAGAATCAAAACGCAATTTATTCGCCAGAGTAAGCATTATTACACAAGGCAGTTCCAAAGGCACGCTTGTCGAAAAACTAAGACAAACAAGCTGAAACAATCAGCAACGCAGCCTTCAGGCAATAACGAGGAGGACAGCTCTTCACGGCAAAACACTAAGGTACAGCTCACAACTTGGTCAATCGCTCTCAAGCAAATCTGTGAATTCAAGCCGCACTACTCTCTAGTACTCTCTCTGCGTACAGGTAGGGTATTTATAGCTTTAACCTACTTTCGAGAATATTCCCGAGAAAATTAAAAATACGTTCTAGAATAGTCTCTCTCCATCCATGGCATATCTCCAATTTTGTCCCCAAATATTGCCAAATGAGCGATTTCACGCCAAATCTGGCAAGTATGTCTTTCCCTGCCATTCTCTGGCAACCCTAATCCAGCTTTGCGGGGAAGCTTTCTCACCGCAGCTGGGCATTTCGCAACAATTATATACTAGTAGAAGTTAGCAAAAGAGCATCAGTGAATGGAATTTAAAGAGCAAAAGGTTAACCTCAAATTGTTCTAATTTATTTATTAACTGACCCCTCAAGCAAATTAAAAATGATGTCAAAAATCACAAATTTAAGAATGAAATATATCATTCAATTTCTGTCGTACAGGGATCATATTTGTAAATGTAAGAATAGGAACCGTAATAACATATAAAAGTTTGATTTCCTATTTTACGTAAAATGTATTTTTTTAAAATTAATACGAAAACTTGAATCTTAGTCATTTAAAACACTTTTGTAACTGAAAGCATTTCTCTTTAAACAAAGACTGTAAAAATAAAGGTGGGGAAAGATTTTTGTGGGCACCGTGTATGTACAGTGTGCCTATTTAATACAAATTTTCCTTAAAACACTGTTAATTGTCTTGAAAGGTTTTTAACTTCTTGCTGTTGTTCATGGGAACAGAAGTATAATTGGTCTTAAACTGCTAAAAAAAGCAAATTTGTCTAAAAACGTTTTATTAGTTGTTACAAAAAAGGTTTTTATGACTACATTATTTGTTGTAACAAAATATGTTTATTATTCCTTTGGATTACATAAGCGGAAAACCTTTCTCTTACTTATAGTAAGAGAAGTTTCTCTATCAATGTAGTAAATTCAGGCTTTCAATCCTATACCCCCACCTGAGCTGGAACGCCTTAAATGCGAGCCAGTTTGCCTTAGAAAGTTCTCTACGAAGGCATTCCTTCCTTTAGGCAGGTATCCCTAATGTGCTTTAACACAATCAGATAAATCCAATAATTTTAATCCCTCGCATACAGAGATTGAAAAAAAAATTATTAGATTATATAAAATCTTTTTTCAAAATGCATTGTTAGTTCCAAAAATCCCAATTGTTTTCAAATTGCTCTCATCTAGAAATTATTTGAATTATTCTTATTTTCGGAATAGAAATTAGTTATCAATTATTAGCATTTTGCTGATCAAAATATTGAAATCACTTATACAGCAATATTTTAAAGATTAGTTTTTCTTTCTTTAATATATGGAAGCAGCATAAGCATATTATTATTGCTACCTGAAGCAGTATAAGCATATTATTATTATTATCTTTATGAAAGCAGTATAAGCATATTATTATTACTATAAAATAATCTCCATAGAAACAATACAGAACCAAACAAAGCGTTAAATAAATCCAAAAATTATCCTGAGTATTCTTTCACTTCTATGTCAATAACGAGATGTAGACTTTGACGTGGGAGAAGTCCATCTCCGTGTTTCCATAGAGGATTTTCGGAGAAGATATTGACTAAACTTAAGAGTCTTTTAATTAGTAAGTTCAAATATCATTTGCAGTGAGAGGTAATTCAAAGTTTGAGCGAAGGAGATTTCCTAGATCTCCACGTTATTAAGATGCTTGTTACAGAATTCGGAAACTTTGCGCTGAGTATCTTATTAAGTCTTGTCGCTTTCAGTCATTCACGAGAAATGAATATGTGGCATCACAAGACTGCTTTGAGGCCAAAGTTGTAAACTCAAATAAAATTTCATTTCACTAGCTTTTGAAAAATTTAATTAAATTTCTTGATTACCAAAGTCTCAGATTTTATCGTAACCATAGATTTCTTCAATTTTATTCAAGTAAAGTAAAAACTACCGAAGGTCAAATTAGACGTAAGGTCATTGCATTATGTACTGCATCATAAGAACAAATATTGCTGTGAATTGACTTTAAATAGATTTACAAGGTTCCTTTATGCTAATTAAGAAATTATTTTTAAGTTTTCGATCTTTATTATCACTTCTTCGTTCCGTTTATCCGCCAGAAAGCAAATTTAGTTCGCATTTAGATTGTAAGACAGAGTGTGTTCTACCATTAGAGGCCACGTTACCATGTTGCTAGATGAGAGTTGCAATCTTCGGCCTTGCATTATAATTGCTGATAGCTGATATCCACACCGGTTAAGGTTTGAGCCAACGTTGCGTTAAGTAATCTGTGTAGCCTTTGGGTACTAGTTTATTTGAATTTAAATTTTACATTTGAACTTAGTGTTACTCTTACGTTATCTCCTCACAGGTGGTTGGCTGAGTTTGTAAGCATAAAGAATGCCTTCTGTTCTTATTTAGTTTTTTAAAATTGAGTCTTTTACACACTTCTCAAATTTACGTTATTACTTACTTATAATTCGCTTAATGTCCACGAAGATTTTGGACACTTTGGATGGCTGCAAAGCACGCAAAACAGATTATTTAATTTATTTAATGTTAACGAGGTCTCTTTGTCTAAGATCCTTTCTAATTTTGGTCAAGTGCCTCTCCCAAGGATATTTAATATTTCGCTCACTGGAGATAAAAATGTTTTATTCCCCATAGTGTTTTGCCACTTCTCGCTTTGATATTGTTGATTTTTTAATAAAAACTTCTTTAAAGTTTTATAAAATATGAAATTGGCAATAAAACAAATTCCAAAATCCGGCTTTCAAGTGCCCGTATTCGGGTGGAAGACTATGTTAATTTGATGATTCAGGGGCCATTGTGTTTTCACAATGCAAGAAACATGCATATGTTCATGTAGATTCTTGATTATTTAGTTACTTTAAATATAATACAAGGCAATAATATTTGGTGGCAACAATTTGAAAAGTGATACAGCTGTTTATAGTGATTCGACGCAGAATGCCGTTTTGAGACTAATAGCCCTTTTGGGCTAACGCCCATTTGG